TATTTACCAGAAATTAATTAAACTACCGTATAAGGAATCAGCCTCGGTAACAAAGGATACTGTGAAGGGGAGGGGAGAGGAGAACGTCCGTTTGTTCATCCTTATTCCAAGCAGTGGCTTGGAGGACATTCAGTGGAAATGTTTCATAGCTTAACAGTTCAGGGAAAAGGAACAGTGCAAGAGAGAAGTAGGAGAACTAGTAACAAAAACCTATAAGGAACGATTGGTTGCCTGTGTGAGAGATGGCTGGGCAAACGTTTATGCAAAATTTTAGCTGTCTGTTAATCGGGAAGGAATTGGATTGAATCAAAGCATAAATGTGGTTAGAATGAATAGTGTTCTAGAGAAATTGCATGCGAAAACTCCTGATTTCAAGCCAACCAAGGAGAGATGAACGAACCACATTTACACTTTGACTGTGACAGCGTTCACTGGCTCGATTGGGTGTCGATATGTATTGAGCACCATGGATGTTTGACTCCGTCCAGAGGGCGTACGATTAGATGAACTGGATACCAGTTTCCAGCAGATTGCGGTTTTGAGGCACCGCCTCGCAGCTGGTGTCCATGAAGACAAGTGTTTCATATAATAAGAAACTGAAGATGTAGGAGTCGTCACTGTTAGTTGAACAACAAACGACGCAGAAGTAATGTAGAAAATTTAAGCTTCAGCCATGATTGTAAAAGTAAGGATTTTGTGTTTAGGAAGTGACTGCAAATGGGTTAAACAAGGGGCCGATATCAGCTTTGAGTAAAATTAAGGGGTGAAAAACGTACGATGATTGGCAATGGATGGTATCCATCTTCGGGAAGATTCGGGTTTCGGTTGAAAGTACGTCAACAGGAGAATTCGGTGTGCGGAATGAATGTTATGGCTCAGTTCATGAACGTTGGTGAAAGTGATGAGTTCGTGATTGCTGTACGTGTGAGTAGAGGTGGCAAGAGCATGTGTGATCATACACAGTCAAGATCCGTAATGTGAGCGTGATTCGGAGGCCGGGAGTGGTGAGATACATATAAGGTCTTGATGGAACGCGCGCGTATGCAGAACAGTCTAGCAACAAAGTTTGGTTATCGTGTTCAAATCTTTTGGTCCAGAACATGCCGATGGTGACCTTAACCGTTTAATGACCGCCACTGAGTTTCGGTCTTGGTAATTTTCAAGTGTGCAGTTATAATAGACTGCTATCTAAGTCTTATTTACTGTAATTGGTTATGTTCGTCCTTTTCGACAATGTGTGAACAGATTGCGCTTTTAATTTATTTTGTCACCCCAATGTACAGCAAACTCGGATAATGCTCACGAACTGTCTGAATCAGGCATCTGCTCGTGCGACTAATGTGCGTTGTTCGACAGGAACAAGTGAAAGTGAATGGGGTCTTTGAACTTGAATTGCATGTTTTTTGCAAAAATTAAGTAACTGCCTTAAGTCCTCGGTCGGGATGCTGATATCATTCATTTGGATGTAGTCCGCTAAGTAGTCGATCGTTTCTTCGATAAGAATGAAAAGAGAAGTTACATCGAGGGAAATCATTCGTAATCCAGTTATATTTAGATCCTGGATAAAATCCACCAGATCAAACGAGTCTCGTGGCATATGCTTCACTAGTCCAGTCTTTACAAGTTCCAATTTGCTCTTGAGCCACTTAGCTGTAGCGTAGTAAGATGAGTTACACATACCCAATATTGGTCTAAGTGGAACACCGTTTTTATGTATTTTTGGTAGTCTCTACGTCCTCGGAATCCTCGTTCCAGTCGGATACATTCATACGTGGTCGCATCTATCACACCCCTTTGTTTAAGGCATCGTAAATTCTGGGACAACTTCTTAAGTCTGTTCGGTTTTGTCCTTCTCTCCGTTGTTATTTCTAGAACATGTGCTTATCATTGAAAGTGATGTGCATCTTGGCTATACATGTAGTCCTGTTTGTTCGTGAGTACTATGCCTTTGTCTGGTCTGTAAATTATGACGCTCGTATTTTGCTGTTTATTTTGTAAACACCTTGAATGTTCGTTTGTCACCAAGCTCCTAATCGCCGGTTTGTTTCCCTGGAATCCGTAACATGTATTCAACTTTAAGGAGTGTGAATCGCAAGACAAAGTCAGATATGACAACGAAGCATACAAATGCAACCTCCAGGTCTAATCGCCTGATCGTTTGCCGAGGACAACAAAATGATGGTCCTAATGCCAGAACTTCCAGTAAATGCTTATTCAACACAAGCGAAGATAAGTTATGGGCAAATATTTTTCTGAATTTTTCGGGAAATACCTGATATACTTTTTTGAGTCTGCTAGATTCGTGAGCAGATCCCGCTTGCAATTCTTGCTCGCTACATTGTATTCTATTCTAAATGTTTGTTGGTGGCCTAATGGGACGATACACGTAGCGTTATAGTTCTACCAACACCATTCACTTTGGTTTGTCTAGCACTGTTCTGTCAGTACTCCGGGTTACCTCTGTTCGCCAGTGAGTGTTTGTGGCGTCTGTATCGAAGTCGGCCTGGATATAACATTTGGCGTTTCGCATTCCGTAACATGCCCGTAGTCTACTATCAGGATGCCAAACAAAAACGGCCATTTCGATTTAGTGGTGTGGAATCACTTAACGCCTATCGATTGGGTATTCGATTGGCCACTCTGATCTGGATTAGCATTAAAACCTCTCCGGATCGTCTGCGTCTCCTCCAACCCGACATATCGAGGTGTCTGGCAGGTAAGTCAGAGGGTCCTAAATTTTTCACACCGTTATTTTCTTGATCAAAAGTGGCTTTTTACACTGAAACAGCACAACGATCATTTTGACCATTTTCCAATGTCTATAATTTTTCATGTGAGCTTTTAAGTCATCATTTTTGGGGACTTCTTGATTGATGTGTTTTGTATATCTTTAACATGTCCATTTGTTTTGGTGTAGTCGTCAAGCAGTCATTTTGACTGTTTTTTAACTTGTTCGTTTTCTTCGCCGATGGTAACTCAAAACGTCGGATACATGCAGTAAGACCAGTGTGTTTCGGCGGTACCAGTGCAGTCGTTATCAGTTATGACCTTGACAACTGCTCATGCCTATCTTATGATGAGAACAGTGCGTTTTCAGATCACTTTAGCCCAGCATTGGTGCACCAACACGCTCGTGCACACTCCTCTTTTCGAAGTCCCTTTCATTCGGGCAACTTTGGCCGACATAATCTCTATCGTGAAATTTTTTCAACTGGCGCTATGATCCTCTGGACTCGCCCATTGTATCCGTTCCGGATTAATTTACCATAGTTCACACACGTCCGAGTCAGTACAATGATCTTTATAGAATAAAAAAGTCACATTATTTGTTTGTGGATGTGATGCTGTCAGTTTACCCATCCCAAAGGAGGTGAATTTTCTCGGGAAGTTAACAATCGG